CATGTGAGCCTCAGAACCGCTCTGGGAAGGTGTGGGACTTTCCCAGGGCCTCCATGCTGCAGTTGGTTTCACATTTAGAGATGAAGTCTCCTAACGCTGCTCTCTTTCCCAGGCATAATGCTTTTACACAAAATCTCTTTATTATTATTATTTTTTTTTCATCCAGCTTAAATAGACGTAGTTTCTTTAACCTTTCTTCCTAGGGACTTTAGTCCTAATCTTTTCAGTGATTGCTAATTGTTATAACTTTCTAATTTTTTCTACTTCACATGCCCTATTTTAGCAAGGTGTTAAATGGAACACAGGACAAAGCAGACCCATATTTTTGGGTGTTGTAGACTTTATCACACTTCATATTCAGTTCTATCTAGTCAGTACCTCCAAGTCTTTGATGCTGCCTTAACCTCTTTCTTTTTTAAAAAAAATTTTTTTTTCTATTTTTTATTGTGTTTATTTATGTATATTTGGCTGTGTTGGGTCTTTGTTGCTGCGCGCGGGCTTTTTCTAGTTGCAGCGAGTGGGGGTTACTCTTTGTTGCGGTGCGTGGGCTTCTCATTGCGGTGGCTTCTCCTGTTGTGGAGCACCAGATCTAGGTGCATGGGTTTCAGTAGTTGTGGTGCATGGGCTCAGTAGTTGTGACTCATGGGCTCTAGAGCACAGGCTCAGTAGTTGTGGCACACAGGCTTAGTTGTTCCGTGGCATGTGGGATCTTCCCGGACCAGGGCTCAAACCCGTGTCCCCTGCACTGGCAGGTGGATTCTTAACCACTGTGCCACCAGGGAAGCCCAACCTCTTCTTTCAAGGGCTTGAATAAGGCGGAATATATCTTAAGGAGTCAAACACTTCTTAAGCGTTATGTGCTCACTCTGTTTTACAGAACATCTTTTCCAGGAGTCTAATTTGGGAATTGTTTGTGCTCTGAAGGATACGGGAGGAGGCTCTTACTGTCACGAGGGCCAGAAACAGGGCTGGCTCCTCACAGACAGGGCCTCACAGGGCCATTCCAAGTGCCTCCTCATTAAGCCCTCCGGTATTCTAGTTCCCTGCTCACAGGAGTGATTCTTCACTTTCCACAGTTGACCTGTTGTACTATATTCTTCCGTCCTCTCTTCTGTGATCCAGAGGGGTCACTGAGTTTTCAATCCATTAACCCACCCCTCATACCTAGTTTCTTCTCAGACCTGTACTTAATTTCTTCCTGTTTACTCATTTATTAAACGCGAAGACTGTACCAAGTTAAAGTTCAGCGTCTTCAGAACGCCTGATGACACAGTCCCTGAGGCTGCCCTTGAATAACCGATGCAGATTCTTTAAGCAGTGACCTGTTAGAGTGCCCATCTGGATCGGATGAAAAGCCTTCTGACTTATTAATTTTTGTTTCCAGGTTGATATAGGACATTGTATAATTTATTTTTACCAAAGCTAGATTAGTCTTTACTGTTTGTTTTTGAATTTGTTTTTCCTTAGCTCCAGCACCTGTGGAGATAGTATCGATATGTCTATAGATGTCAGGAATATCCACTTTATGTTTCAAACCACACACCCCACAGTTTTCTGATCTAATTTTTAGGTACTTCATAAGGCCCTCATATATTTTCAAAAATAATTGCTAGTGACCCTGATGAAACTAGGCCAGGTATTCCTAGGTTTAAGGCAGTCCAGTTTGCAATGTGCAGCCCTCCTAATTTAATGGGGGAATCTTTAACTAGATGCTCCCCTTCGGGGTGGCTTCTTGCCCTTCCACCCTGGGGCTACACACACTGATGATAAGATCCCAGTGGACTTATCTTTTTTTTTTTTTTTTTTTGGCGGTACGCGGGCCTCCCACCGCCGTGGTCCCTCCTGCTGCTGAACACAGGCTCTGGACGCGCAGGCCCAGCGGCCATGGCTCACGGGTCCAGCCGCTCCGCGGCACGTGGGATTCTCCCGGACCGGGGCACGAACCCACGTCCCCTGCATCGGCAGGCAGACTCTCAACCACTGCGCCACCAGGGAAGCCCCAGTGGACTTATCTTTAACAGTCAGTGATAAAAAATAAGTACAGTGTTAAAAACATCCATCTTTCAGTATCACTTATTTAGAGCTTCCTCTCCTTTTCTAATGAAAGACTACTCTTTTCCTTTTGCTATTTTGTTCCTTAATGCTTTTCAGCAGCGTTCTCATGTTGCACCCTTGATGCCATGAGCCTGAGCTCTGGAGGCTGGGTGACTGGTGTTCAGCTCTTTGCCCAGCCTCCACCTGTGAAATGAGATTAATAATAATATTGACCTCACAGAGCTGAAGTGAGCATTAAGTTCTCTAATTTGTAAAATTGCTTTATTATAAACTTTAAACACATAGATAGATAGATTCAAATGGCAAGTACTGATTGTTGATATTTGTGCTCAGAATTGCTAAATGCCATGTCTTAATGATGTTAGCCAGAATGCCCAGTAAGACTGTAAAATAGGTTATTAAATGAACACCTCCTACTCTCTAAATGTTTTCTATTTCTACTTTTCTCATTCTCTATTTGTGTCTCTATTTCTTTTAATGCCCACCATTCTCTTTCCCAACTTTGGTAGCTTTCTATAACTGGATATAGTAGAGAAGCATGTTTTAATTTTTGTATTACCTATGGTAGCTATATAATCTTAAGTAAAACTAAAGGTATAGAATGTTTATTTTTATCTCTTTAAAAAACTCACATAGTTTCTTTTTTTTCACTTGTCAATTCATTCTATAATCTTTTGTCCCCAGTCGATCAGCAATTTTCAGTAGAAAATCTTTTTTCCTCTATTGTTTTATGCTTTTGTTGCTGGGGAGTTAGCAGGGCTACCAAAGCACTTCAAATTCAGGCAAGTCTTTTCCTCTTTCTTTTAGAAATGGATTTTGTTGAATTCTATGTTCAGTTTGTCCCCAGAAACTTACTGAAAAGTATATGGTACAGATATGAATGTTCATAAATACAGAATAACAAAGTGAATACTCTATTTTGGTGACTTTTTAAAAATAATGGAAAATGTGGGATCATTCATAGCATGAGGAGGGGAATTTTGAGAATTTTAGGCACCTCAGAATCAGACTGTCAATTACAAGCTTTAGGTTTGTTTTTTTAATGGCCAAGCATAACCACCTCAGCTCAACTCTACCTCCTCTTGCCTCACAGCCCTAGGCTGACTGCTTCTTCTGTGCTTTTCGCTACCTCCCTGAAAGAGTCCACTTAGTCAAGTTGTGACTATTGACTGAGCACTTTGTGTTAGTCCAGATTCGTGATTGCAAATGACAGACCATGAGTCACGGCAAACCAATCCATTTAAAGTGGGTGTTGGCGGGGAGAAGGTTTACTGAGAGCATGCCCAGTAACCAGGAAGGATGGAGTTAGTGCATCCTTCCGCATTTGTGCCTTTGCGAAGGGTCCACAGCCCAAGCTCCTTCCCTCTTCAACCCGTGCAACCAGCTGGAAAGGCTGTGTGCTGTTTCCTCAGGGCCTCAAAGCTGGCCCCGTCCTTCCCTCACATTGCTCTCCTTTCCTCCTCCTGCCCACTTTGGTCTGGTTAGCTCCTGCTTACTCTCCCAGACATCTTCCTGACACCCAGCCTGAGATGCATGCCTTTTATGTGTTTTCATAAAATTCTGTGCACAGGACCCTTCTATGCACTTATCAAAACTTTCTGGTGATTGCTTGTTTACTTGTCTGTTTCTCAGCTAGACTTTGACCTTCTAGAGGGTGGGAGCTGTGTCTCAATCATGCTTCCATTCTTTGTCCACAGTCTCATTCATAAACAGAGAGAAGCATTTGTTGAATGAGTGAGCATAGGATCTTTGTTCATGTTGGTGACTTTGCTTTCTGGGCTGATCTCTGTTCATGCTGGTGACTTTGCTTTGACAAATACAAAAGCCTTTTCCCTTAATGACATAAAAGTCCTACTTCTTTTTTTTTTTTTCCCCGCTATGCGGGCCTCTCACTGTTGTGGCCTCTCCTGTTGCGGAGCACAGGCTCCAGACGCGCAGGCTCAGCGGCCATGGCTCACGGGCCCAGCCACTCCGCGGGATCTTCCCGGACCGGGGCACGAACCCGTGTCCCTTGCATCGGCAGGTGGACTCTCAACCACTGCGCCACCAGGAAAGCCCAGAAGTCCTACTTCTAATGTTCTTCATTTTAAAACAGAACTGGATATGATCCCCTTCCACAAACATATTCAGTAAAGAAATGTGAATACGCATGCAAAAAACCCTTTAGGTCAGTTGTTGTTTTGGTAGTAGTCAAAGTTTTGTGCAATTTCTAGATATAAATAATGACTTAAAATATACTTATAAAATGTACAAGTGACCTTACTTAATGGGCAACCAGATTAACTGTGTAGTTGATATGCACAGTGTCAGGAGCAGGTCAGGAAGGTGTCTGACAATACACATTCATTTTTAGTGGCTTATTTTTCATCTTTTCTGCATTGAATACGATTATTTTGATGAGCAGTCTGACAACCTTGTAAGTTAGCTGAAAAAATTTTACTGATATATGCTAACTTACATGCTAACTCGTCCTTTCTTTTTCAGGGGTAAACGTAGTGTTAGAATCTTTAATAACTGTTTAATATAGTTATTTTTCATTTGTTCTAAGGTTGAAATATGCTTGTTGGCTCACCAAAGACTCTGATGTGAGGGTCCCACAAAACATTAGAGTACCTTCCGTTCCTCTCTAACAGTTTAATAACCAGCTTTGATTTGACTCCTCAGTGGCTGTAAATCCATGAAAATCATTCACAACAATAGTTTTGGGAGGCAGAAACAAAAAGCTGCTCTTTCTTCTTGTATGTAGTTGTTTTCTTTTAGGATATATAACTTGAATCTAGTATTCCGAGCCTGTGTACTGCTGAACCATTTTAGCAGCCCTTGGCTATGATTGTAATTCTTGTCATCAGAAACAAATGATTTCACCAGAAAGGAAAATGAGAGCTGGTTTTACTGATGACATACTCATGCATTCTCTGTTCTTCTCCCTCTCTCTTGTTTTTCAGTGAGCATGTTTTTGAACACATTAACACCGAAGTTCTACGTGGCCCTGACAGGCACTTCCTCACTAATATCAGGGCTTATTTTGGTAAGTGGTGGAATCCCTGCTATTTAAAAACATGCTGATTACTAATATATACGTTATATATGTACAGGAAAAAATTCTGGAAGAGCACCTTACAGTGTCTGCGTGTGTGTATATGTTGGATAGGGGACTGATAGAGGCCTTTCACTATCCGGGTTATATGTTTTTAAAATATTGGAAAAAAGATTTTTTTTTAACAATTATATACTGCTTTTGTTGAAGGAAAAAACAAAATGGAAAATAAAGGAAGACATAATTCTGTGTCAAATTCTAATGTCTGAGATACTATAAAGTAAGTGTGACTCAGTTAAACTAAAATGTTTTTCATTACCCTTTTCAGAATGGATTATTGGACATAATCAAGATCAGTAGAAATATAGCTCAGTTTCTTTAAATATATTGACATGGATGTGGCAATTCTAAGCTTTTTCCCCCTTCATCTCCTTTTCTTTTAAAATTTACATATATTTCCCTATTGCTTCCTTGAAAAAAAAATCCCCAGTAGTCAAAAAGCAATATGACAATCACCCCTAAGGCTCCATTGCCTTATGTGCTAAAATAGTTATAGGTGTAATAAGTTATAGCACCTGCAGTAGTTTTCTTTAATTTAAGTGACCTTAGAGGGGGCCATCTAAACTAGTGGAATCACTCTAATATAATTAAATTTATATTAAGGAGCTTTAAGGAGAAAGAGGTTTTAGAAAGCTTTTTTTCCCTCTATACATAATGCTGTGATTACTAATTATTATAGAGACATGGACAAGAAACAGTACAATGAGGTAACCGCTAGTGCTGTTTCCATTTTACTAATACATAAGCTGGATAGGAAGTAACCTATCTTAGGTCACCTAGATGGCAAGTGGCAGAGCAGGATTTCAACCCAGGCTGGCTTGCACCAGAGCCTGTGCTTTTATCACTCACGTCACTGCCTCTCTGGTTAAGTTCTCAGCAGTTTTTCCAGCTTGCTGAACAAATGGCAAGTCTGGATTTTATTCTAGTAGTATCTTGGTGTGGGTTCACTAGGCTATAAATGAATTACCAGAATGCAGGGTGAGCTAAGCCTAACAGTCATTTTCCCTTCTCACGTAGAGATGGTGATGTCCCATGTCCTTGCTTCTCTTCTCCTCCAAATAAAGGGGTTTCCTTAGACCGTGACCAGCTTTGCAGATCCAGGCTCGTGAGGCTTTCTCCCTGTGTGTGGAGTGCAGCTGCTGAAGCCTGGTGGTCACTGCCGTGTTGTTTTATGATATATTTGCCTTGCTGCATTCCTAGGAAGCAGAGGATACTCCTGACTAATGTAAAACTTTGAGCAAAGGAAAACCTCTGATGTGTGAAGATTTTGAAAGCCCTTCTCAAAAATGCTTGGTCTGTCATATATACACTACCAAATATAAAGTGGATGGCTGGTGGGAAGCTGCTGCCTAGCACAGGGAGATAAGCTCTATGCTTTGTGACGCCCTAGAGGGGTGGGAGGGAGGCTCAAGAGGGAGGGAATATGGGGCTATACGTATACATATACCTGATTCACTTTGTTGTACAGCAGAAACTAACACAACATTGTAAAGCAGTTATACTCCAATAAAGATGTAAAAAGAGAGGCATGGACATATATACACTACCAAATGTAAGGTAGATAGCTAGTGGGAAGCAGCCGCATAGCACCGGGAGATCAGCTCGGTGCTTTGTGACTGCCTGGAGGGGTGGGATAGGGAGGGGGGGAGGGAGGGAGACACAAGAGGGAAGAGAGATGGGAACATATGTATATGTATAACTGATTCACTTTGTTATAAAGCAGAAACTAATATACCATTGTAAAGCAATTATACTCTAATAAAGATGTAAAAAAAAAAGATGTAAAAAAATATAGTGTAAAGAACACTAAATCACCTCTAAAAAATTAAAAAATAGAAAAATTAAAAAGTGGGTATATATATATGTATAACTGATTCACTTTGCTGTACAGCAGAAACTAACACACTTTATTTTATTTTTTAAAAAATTTTTATTTATTATTATTATTTTTTTAACATCTTTATTGGAGTATAATTGCTTTACAATGGTGTGTTAGTTTCTGCTTTATAACAAAGTGAATCAGTTATACATACACATATGTTCCCATATTTCTTCCCTCTTGCGTCTCCCTCACTCCCACCCTCCCTATCCCACCCCTCTAGGTGGTCACAGAGCACCAAGCTGATCTCCCTGTGCTATGCGGCTGCTTCCCACTAGCTATCTATTTTACGTTTGGTAATGTATATATGTCCATGTCACTCTCTCACTTAAACACAACACTTTAAATCAACTATACTCCAATAAAAATTTAAAAAATAATAATATATTAAAAAAAATTCTTGGTCTGTACTGAAGACAAAGTCACTACCATGTGGGAATAGCTCTTGATAGCTTTAGGCTCCTGCTTTAGAGATTGTTGACACTGGTGCTATCCAGCCCTTGGGGACTCAGCTTTGCTAGCCCTTGAAATGCACCCAGGGCTGAGCTTTCTCTTCAGCCACTGTTCTTTTCTGCCAAGTGCATTTCATGGAGAGACAGCATTGAGGTCAAGAGTCAGGTGCTTTGCAGAATAGCTGTGTGCATAGAACTGCTTAGTGGTTTGTTTCCTGGCACCAGAGAGATAATTACCTAACTACTGTCCCCTAAGCAAATGTCAAGGGAGCCAGGCGGTGAATGCTGAAAGTGCAGGGCTGGCCCTGAGGAATTTGTTTGGGGACCTTAGTATTTCTGTGCTGGAGACTGAAATGATCATGCAATGTGATGTCTTAGGCGAAGAGAGGTAAACACAAACAAACAAAAAACCCCCCTGCTATTTCCCCTATGAAGGAAAAATCAGTTAACTGAACAAACATATATAGAAATAAAATGTGTTTGGCAAATGCTGCTTTTACACTAGCATGTTTAAAAATAAGTGAGGACTCAGAAGTGTGCATTTTACTAGATATCACTGCTAGTTCTTAATTTCACAAGTTGAAAGCCAGCAATGAGTTTGTTATGCCACCTACTTGTCATTCTTCCCTTACGGTTCCTGGGCCCATATCCCCTCCAGGCACCTCCTTCCCTTGCTTAACTTCCAGCTGCCCCGTCTGGCCGCTTGGCACAAGCTTTCTCATCTCAGCCCAGTTCCAGCCACAGGAACTGCACCTGTTGTCACAGTCCAAACCCACCAATTTAGTCTTTTATCTGCTGTAGGAAGGACATGCCCAGTCTGCTTGAGGTAGCCTCTGTGGGCAATGTTTATTTCTGTGGAAAAAATTTCTGAGTTTTGTTTTTGCTCTTGAGAATGGTAAGGTGGATATGTGGAGAAAATGCTCCCCTTAATTTTCTCAAAATGTTGGTAGAATGGAGAAAATGCTGCTGTATTGACATTTATACTTAGATCCCTGTGTCCCCATTAACATGTGTATAGACATGCTCCTACACCTACATGTTACACATGCGTGTTAAATACAGAGATATGGGAAAAGGCAGCCAAAGCAATATTTTTAAAAATGAGAATCAAGAATAAAAATAGAAAATTAGGGCTTCCCTGGTGGCACAGTGGTTAAGAATCCGCCTGCCAATGCAGGGAACACGGGTTCAAGCCCTGGTCCAGGAAGATCCCCCATGCCGCGGAGCAACTAAGCCCATACACCACAACTACTGAGCCTGCACTCTAGAAGCCGCGAGCCACAACTACTGAAGCCTGCGCGCCTAGAGCCCGTGCTCCACAACAAGAGGAGCCACCACAATGAGAAGCCTGCACACCACAAGGAAGAGTAGCCGCCGCTCGCCGCAACTAGAGGAAGCCCGAATGCAGCAACAAAGACCCAATGCAGCCAAAAATAAAATAAATAAATTTTAAAAAAAAAGAAAAAAGAAAATTAAAATAGTAAGTAAAAGAATTAATTCAGGGATTAGGCGTAAAACAATTGTTTTCAGAAAAGCAGTAGAAGAGATGACAATTAGATAGGAATCAGTTGTAATGAAAGGTCCTTTTATTGTGTTTCCACTCTGCCAGGTACTGTTCTGAGCACTTTGAATGTATTATTTCATTTAATTCTAAGTGAATTCTAATTCTGATTTCATGGAAATTCAAAGTGGTTGATATAACCAATGCCTCTATGCTCTGAGTATAAACAGACACAAAATTTAAATAAATTGCCCAAGGATATATAGCAGACAGATGGTGAGATTTGAATTTGGGTCTGTCTGACCATGTCCTCTATCCCCTCCTGTTCAAAAGTAAGGGAGTGGGACTAGAAGATTGTTATGGCTCCTTTCAACTCTTTTTCATTCATCTAAAGAATTTGACCTCCACTTGACCTGAAAATCATGCAGTTGCAGGGCTGGAGGAAGGAACCCTCAGAAGCCATCCAGTTTAAGCCAGCAAAGACCTAAGGAACAGGCACCCAGAAAGCTTATGACTTGCCTAGGTCACCTTGCTAGGTAAGGTATAGGGAAGGCTCGAATTTAAATTTCCACTGCTTTGTCCCAGCATCATTCTGCCTCTCATAAACATGTTGACTAGGAAGATGGGTAGCAGCATTGTCTAGTGGTTGATGTATTCCTTTGAACAGACCCGTAAAAATGGGTCAGGTAGATAAAGAGAGAAGGAAAAGAAAAAGAAAGAAAGAGAAAGGAAAGGGGGAGGGAGGGAGACTACAAATGTCTCTGGAGGGAACATTTTTTCTTTTTCCAATCAGCCATGGATTAGGTCAGATTTGGTCAGTCTAGAACATGGACCATCACTTAACACAATTTATAATTTCATTTGTGACATTTATGGTCTTATCCTCTCTGTGATGGAAGCTTCACAAAGGCTGGGAACATATCTGTGTTTTTGTGTTCAACTGTATAATGTTTGGGTAGACTCTTAAGAAATATTTGTTGAATGCACACAGATCCAGTGAGTGAATGAATTAACTGACTGTATCAGAATTATCTGGGGAGCTTGTTTAAAGTGATGGATTCTGAGTACCACCCCAGACCAACTGAATCAGAATCTCTAG